AAAAAAAATTAAAAATACATGATAGCTGCGTGGTTTAAACCCACAATCTTGTGGATTTAATTAGACACCTTATACCACTTGGCTAAAGTGTATTTCATTGTTTGTGACCATCTTACCAAGACTATGTGTGTTTAAAAAATATTTTTATGATGATGACATTAATTGGTTTATGCATGAGAGCAGTGGGAATTGAACCCATAAAATTATAGTAGTTATTAAAATTTAAGAGAAATTACATATTCATTTAATAAATAACTTACTTAAATTTTGTTGTTTATTTTATTTTATTTAATTTCACATACAATTTTTTTTGAAAAATATTAGGAATGTGTTAAATGTTATTTATATGCAAAGTAAGGTTTATAGGAATAGTTAGGCTATAATATAGTTTTTAGTGTGTAAAAGTAGGAGTGTTTTTTTTTTTGCTGTAAATAGTTTTTGTATCATAGATCAAAACTTGATATAATTATATATTTATAGTATTTATATTTGTATTAAACGATTTATCAATTTGAAAATAACCTTAATTAAGTTAATATTCGTTGTTTAAGTTTCATTAGATAGGCTTTTATATATGGTTTTTTGTAAGTTTGAGTTTTGTTCATAAATGATGTGACATTTTTATCTACGGCGTCATCAACTGTGGGAATCCATTCGCCGGAGTCTGGAATCGGTGGTGAGGAATTTTTTCAAGGAAATTATAGTAGTTATTAAAATGTAAGAGAAATTATATATTCATTTAATAATAACGAAAATAATTAATTTTTGTTGTTTTATTTTATTTTATCTCACATACAATTTTTTTGAAAATATATNATAGTAGTTATTAAAATGTAAGAGAAATTATATATTCATTTAATAATAACGAAAATAATTAATTTTTGTTGTTTTATTTTATTTTATCTCACATACAATTTTTTTGAAAATATATATTAGGAAATATGTGCAATGATTTAACTTTTTGAGCTCCTAATCTATATTATTCAACCTTCATTAAGCCATCCACGTATGCACCTGCGTGGAATTCACTTTTTTTTTTGGTTTTTTTTTGTCTGTTCGTTTTTGGATTTATTTTTTATTATTTTTTGGGTTGAGCTATATTATAATATGATAGTTTTAAGGTTCTTTTAGCCATTCGCGTAGGCAACCACGTGAGACTTGTTTTTTTTGTTTTTTTGTTTTATTATTCGTTTTAGATTCATTTTTAACTATTTTGGGTTTGAACTTATTAAGGTTTAGGGTTTATACAACTATTTTGATCTTTAAAACAATAAGCCCAAAAAAAAACATAAGAACCTTATAAACAAAAAGTCCATATGATAATAACCTAAATAAAAAAAATCAAAAATACATTATAGCTGCGTGGTTTAAACCCACAATCTTGTGGATTTAATTAGACACCTTATACCACTTGGCTAAAGTGTATTTCATTTTTTGTGACCATTTTACCAAGACTATGTGTGTTTAAAAAATATTTCTATGATGATGACATTAATTGGTTTATGCATGAGAGCAGTAGGACTTGAACCCGTGTCCTTGGAGACCAAACATAGGGTCTTAGACCACTTGGCTAAATTGATATTCTTTGTTTGTAGCCATTTTTAAAAAAAACTATCTATTTCAAAATAAAAATGTGAGACCCACAATCTGCCTATGTGAACACCTTAAGGAACTTTTAAACTGAATCATTATAATATAGATTACTATAAGATAAGACAACTAAGTAATGACTCATGACCGTCGTTGAAGGATCACTCTTGATATTTACTACTTTGTCTCTCTTGCTCACGAAGAATTTTCTTTTAATTAGTTATCAAATTATTTATTGTTTTCTTTAACTTCAAGGGGTTTTATTCCATTAACCGGTCATATTGTCAGCAAGAAAGTGAGATTATTTTATCTTAAAAATTTTGTGCATTCCTCGACAATCTTATGAAATGGCAATTTGCTTTCCTTAAACATTTTATGCATTCCTCGACAATCTTATGAAAGGGCAAATTGCTTTCCTACCAAGTTTTAGGTTTGAGAAGTGCCTCTTCTGAAAGCTAAATTATTTTTTCGTGAACAGCCAGAACTTTCATAATATGAATAGGATGCATCAAATCTTTTAAAGTTTATAAATGAAACAAATTTCCTAGTTCAAAAATACATATCAAATTTCATTTAGCAAAAGAAAAAAATATACATATCAAATCTTTTAAAGTATATAAATGAAACAAATTTCCTAGTTCAAAAATACATACAGTTTCACATCATTATCTATGACATGCTGATCCATGTATATAATATTCCCAGTTTTGCGAGGGAGTAAATTGGTTGAAAATATTCTAGACGATACTAGATATATTACTTTATAAGTTTTTGTGTCGGTTGGAAGAATCTGCGATGGTCGGCTAGAGAATATAGGGTAGGTAGGGCGGATGCAATACTGTTTTAACATGGGGGCATATAACCATTTTCTTGTAACTAATGTTTTGTTTGAGTATATTATCGCTAATTAATTGTGGAAATTTACCGAATATGACTCAAAACTTGATTTGAAATGTAAAAATGTATTCTAACTTAATTCAAATGTAAAAATAATTCAAAAAAGATAGTGAAGTTACAAACATTCTCTCATGACCAAACAAAAAACATGATTGTAATTTACTATTATAACCTTATGAGTGAGAAGATAAAACTTACCTAAAAGTTTTCTCATATTGTAGATTTAAAAATAATTTATAAGTTTCATAAAAATATTTTGATATGAGAAAATCATAATCATCTAATTATAGACATTTGTAAATGATATAAATTTAAGATTTAATAAAATTGAATTGTTTTCAACATAGATGAGTGAATGTAAGTTAGTCATGATATTCTTTGGTTTGGAGTTTAGTAACTATGTTGTAGTATTGTATGTGTTTTTTGGATTAGATTGTGGAATCTTAACATTTTATTTTTTTTTTAAAGTAAATTTTAGCTATATGTGTTTAGTTTTATGTAAGATAAAACACTTTAAAAATTTAATTTAGGTTTACTAAAGTTTTTGTATGTGATTAGTTATATATTTGATTTTGGGGTTTTAGAGGACTTAGATTTTCGAAGATATGATGCATTATGAGACTTACTGAATGACTTAACATCATTCTCCCGCTTAAAATGTTAAAAGAATTTAGGTTTCTTGCCTAAAATTAAGTCTTCGAATAAGTATCTTTTAAGTCCTCCTTACCCGTTCCAGTGAAAGTTTCCTAGTGTATTAATTTTTAAAATAAATTATAAATTTCATAAAAAATATTTTGATAGGGTAATCATAATCATCTAATTATAGACCTTTGTAAGTGATATAAATTTAGATTTAATAAAACTGATTTTTTTTCAACATAGATGAGTGAATATAAGTTAGTCATGATTTTTTATTTATTTATGGTTTGGTAACTATGTTATAGTATTGTATGTGTTTTTAGGTTAGAT